GTTGTCTGCTTTATACCAAAGCGAGAGGTCTGTCCCAACACCACCCGGCCCGGCAATGTATCCGGCAAAGGTGAAATACTGGCCATTACTAAGTGTCACATCAGCATAATTGTAAGCAATACCATTCACCACCTGTGTATTGGCAGTCATGTCCGTTCTTGTATCTGTAGCATCGAATACAGCATCCGTACTTTGCACAAGCGCAAGTGCCGGAATGCCTGAAGGCCAGGCCACACGCACCGTACCTACCGTACCGGTATTCTGTACTTTCCAGATGGCGGCAAAACGCAGGTTCTGAGCAGGTACCCCTGTAAAGGGTATCGATAAAGATTTGGCGAGGCCGTTATCTCCCCAAAGAACAGATTGTCCGTTGCTGAGTGTAGCAGCGTTTGCGGCATTACTAGTGGCGAACGGCCCAAGACCGACCAGCACATTATTCACATTTTCAATGCTTTTTGATTGTTTTTGGTACAATGAGCCATCATCATCCCGGGCGATACCAGCTATATTATTATTGTATCCGGTATTTGTAGTAATATTCCAAAACTCAGTGGTACCGTTGCTTGCGATATAATTATGGGGTAATGTAATTCCGTATTTAATGGCTACATAGCTGCGAACCCGCTGCTTTTCTGCCTCGCTAAGATCGCGTTCGTATGCTATTACCTCGCCAATAAAACCGTTCCTGGTTTCAGGCTGAGATCCCAGAATACTGCCGCTTGCATGCTGCACATTGCCCGCAGTTACCGTGGAAGCAATAGTAACAGTCTGCCCATTTTGTCCATATTTGATACCAGCACTGGCTACCGTAAATGACACATCATTCAGATATAGTTTATTAGCAACAACAGCAGGAAGTGTTGCCGAGCTGGTATATGGATATATCACAACCTTGTCTCCCAATCGGGTATACACAGGCACATTTGCATTTACCAGGGAAGCGGTAGTGGTAGTAGCACCAAACCCGATGATGTCGGCATATCCGCTAACATTCTTACTAAGCTGTGCTGTAAACAGGGTGCTATTTGTTCCGTTTGCAGCATATGGCTTTCCTGATGGCACCACCAGGAAGCGGGCATCCGAACCTGTTGTTCCAAAATCTACAATCGGGTTAAAATTGAATGACTGCGTAGCAATAAACGGCTGGCGTGAAACATTTGTTTGTGTATAATGATTTGTATTGCCGGAAAAATCCTGCCATTGTGCTGGTGCAAATCCGGCATCAGAAC